CTATACGCTAGTTAACACTTTTAACACAGATTAGCACTCGTAGCTATAGTATTTTTAAAATAAATCGTGATATATAGTTTTCAAATAAATAGTACAATTTTATTAAAAATAATAATAAATTCACTGAATTCACAATTCTAATTGACAGATTATAAAATAAATAAATAATCAATCAATAATTTAATGATTTTTAATTAAATTGTGCATGCTATCTGGAACACAATGGGTACCAATGTGGTCGTAAAACCGGAATAAAATATATATCATTCAGCAAAGAATATTGAGAATATCTCTTGAGTTGAATATCCGGTTCACAGGAATGTTATAGTCGTTCGCAAGGAATTGCTTTTTCTCGTCCGTCCCAACCGTCACATAGATATCGCACCCGTAGTGTTGACACATGTTTATAGCCGCCTGACCCACAATTCAAGGGCTAAATAATTTAAATTTTGAACTCTTGTAAAACATAATTAAATGTTTAATAAATTTTCAGTAATTGTTTAAGTGTGCTTACCATTTCCTTAGGGGCCATGTACCTTATCATAGTAGCAATATTTATAGTTAAATTAAATAAGAAATTCTATTTTGATATAAATTTTATTTTAATATAGAATAAAACATTTCAAAAAATTAATATCTTTAATAACTATAACCATAATATTATAATTATAGAAATATTATGCTTATTACTATAATTAATAATTATGAGCATATAATAGGTAAACACATACCATGCCAACTTTAAATTCTAATCAGTTATATAATAATATTCAGCATTTAACACTTTTATAAAATATGAGCTTAATATATTACACAATAATTACCACTAAAACATTAATTATATTTATTTTTTAACGTCAAATATATTGTTTGGTAAAGAGAACTTATCATGTAAATTTTTTGTTTAATAAACTTTATTAGGAATATGTATTACGTAAACGCCTCAACAATTTTGTCCACAATGACCGTGCAAGCCAGATCAAACTGGTTATCATTATCGATTGGCTCCATAATTATATTCTCGTTGTTGTCCTAGGTTATAATTAAAAATCACAAATTATAATATAGCTGTTATCGTATTTGCAATAGTGAAGTATTGGTAGTTATGAATTATATAGTAATTTATATAAAATGAATTTTTAAAATGTATTTATTCAATATTTTAAAAAGTAAATTAATGTACCGTATTTGTTTCTATCCAAACTTATGAAGCAAAAAACTTATTAAATCATGCTTATAAAATAGAATATAAACTTATAAAATTATATACAACCAGAATAATATAAACCTATTGATTATTCATTGTTTTATAAATTGGTTATAAAATAACCATTAGGTGTTAACAAACACAATAGTATTAATAGTTTTCAACAATAGAGAGTTATTAGTACTATGTTTATTCAGGTTTAATAAAATATACATGGCAATATTCATTTATCCGACATTAGTGTACACCAGGCCCGTCCAGAATTTTTAAAATCCTCAAAATAGNACCAGGCCCGTCCAGAATTTTTAAAATCCTCAAAATAGTGTTTTACAATATTAGTAAACTTATTAACTATTCACAACACTAATATTTAATGAATTAAAAGTGACTAAGTTATTTTGTTGGAAACATAATTTTCATTTTGATTAATAGTATGAATATTTATTAGACATCAAAATACTAGTGTTGTATATACTCAGCTTAAATAGTAACAAATAGTAAATGCATATATCACTAGTTGGTTTCTGGAAACCATATCTGTGCGCCAATGGTGTACACTATTTTGTGAGTTATTATCACTCACTAAAATAATCGGTAACTTTTTCTGGAGACCATAAGTTTGTCCGCATATTATACACGTTAATCCCAATTCATTGTTTAAAATCTTGGTTATTTAGTAGTCATAAATTAAAATATTTTATAATACAACTAAACTTACTAATCAACAATTTTTAAAAGATAAATGCTTCATTTATTAATTTACCAGTCATTTAATAGGGAACAACATGATTCGCCAATTTTAATGAGTGATAATAACTCACAAAATAGTGTACAATAATGTTATTAAAGAATAATTGCGATACCTTTACCCCATTTGGCGACAACCAGAGTGACAATTCATACTTAGCCGGACCACATTAACAGAGACAATACTAAAAATATTATAACATTAGTCAGAAATGAGATTAATGTCGAAAAGTATTGTCACTCATATTGTGGCCCGGATTGGCACACGTACTCATCGTAGCATAAAATGCTTGAATTAATAAACTCATAGACAGTGAATTTCATTTATTGGGAATCCGCCTAAAAATTCAGTACTAATTTGAAATAATAAATAAATAATAAAACTCACATAAATTGAGGGCAGGAAATAGGTGTCCATCGACTTATCAAGACAATTTTCGACGTCCTCAACCGAATCGAATCGAAACGGTTTAATGAAAACCAATTTCCCCGTCCTTTTCGCCCATTTCTTTGCGATCGCGAGTTTCAGTCGATTTGAAAACTTCTTGCGTTTATTGAGTCTATACTCCGATAGCTTACGAATCCTAGCGAGCATTACGTGAAATATGGGCTCCATATCATTGGCTACCAGTCCTTTTCCGGCAAGGTCCACGAGCTCGTTGACAATGAACTTCACTTTGTTGTTAAAATTGGGCTCCTTTTTAATATCGCGCTGTATTTTGTCCTTTAATGAGCCTGGTAGCTCTCTGGACAGGATTGTCAACAACATTATCAGCAAATCTTCGTCTGTCATGTGATCCTCGCGGAAAAAAGCGTCGTTTATGACGTCAATTATGACCGCTTTGCCCACTATTTGCTTCCGTAACAGTTTGGAGCAAATGATGGCGCCATCGAAATACCCCAACACCTCATACGACCCTTTAGGCTCCAGGTTCTTTAGCAATTTTACGTAATACTCGCTCACCTCTTTGAGCGTGGTCAGTTGAGTCACCTCCCTGGTCCAGTTAAGTCCGATCACCGGTCGGTTAATCTTTTGAGCCAGCTCCACCATGGCGGCAAAGTTGACTTCAATGGGCGGCAGTATGTAAACGGGAACGCCTTTCTGAACGCTATTGAGTCGGGTATGTGTTTCGTATGGGATCAAGAATTTCATTTTGAGTAAGTTTGCCTTGGCGCGTCTAACATCATCCAGGTGCTTCTTGATTTCGCCAATTTTGCCGGCCTCGTAGTCCTTGAGCATACCGATCGTAATACTCTTGACGTGGTTTAAAGTCACTTTCATATTCCACTCCCTCTCCAGTTCCTGTTGTAATTCTACGGCGAACATAGACTCGATACCGATCTCACCCAGGGTTAGGTGGTTGGGTGTGTTGTCCGGATCAATGCCCAGTGCGCGCCACAGTTCCTTGACCAGTCGCTTTTGTCGGCCACCGGATTCAACTTTAGTTTGGCCTACTTTTACCTATCATTGATAATTTATGGTTAATATAGTGAACAATAATTTCATATTACGGTACGAATATATTATATTAATTCATATTATAAAAAGCATTTCTGAACGAAGTTTTAAAAGGATAATTTTCTGCTAAATTTGTAGCAATATGATATATTCATATTATGAATCAGTTACATGAATAACAGGGTATCAATCAAGTACAATATAGTATATTTATAGTTAATAGTTAAATACATAGTATTTGAATATAGGGACAGTAAGTTATTCATTTAACTGATTCATATTTGAATAAAATTTAATTAATTAATGCCTATAAATTAGTGCTTCAATGAACATGCATTCTAATCAGGGCCACATTAACTGTGACAAAACTGTGAACATTATAACATTAATAATTATTGAAATTAAGTATTGTCTCTCATAGTGTGATTGACACAAGTGTTCATTGTAGATTTAGATTATAAAGTTAATATAAATAATTTAAATTATACACAATTAGTATAAAATATTCTACTTATGGTGCGCTCATGGTGTATTTAACCTTTATAATCTAATGTAAACACTTACATATGAGGTAACTATCGGTTGTTTAACTGACAATAATTTATTCAAAACATCGCAACACGAGTTGATCCGCTGTTTCCTAATCGATGTCATTGTCAGCAACTGATCCGAGTCTGCAAACACTCCCACATCACCGACCGGTCCGTACTGTACGGCCAGTCCGTGCAGTCCGTCCCCTCGTCTTTGTTCGCATATTCGCTCGCAAATAGAGTTACCGAACGAGTAGTTAGACTGACCTCCATTTCCCTTTCCACACGTGACGGACGAGAAAATTACAAAATAATCCAAATTGTAATTCAATTTTCGGGTCAATTGATCCAAATTCGTAAAGATCTTATGTTTGGTATCAATAGACGAACAAAACTTATCAAACGTTAACTTCTCTATCAAACAGTCATTCAATTCAAGCGCCAAATGAAATACCCCTCCAATGGGTCCCAACTCTTGGGCCTGTTTTAGCAGTTGTTGTGTGCCTTCAATAGTAAACCCATCGGCAGTCGAGACAATCCATTGGGACTCAAAAAACTTGTAATCCTTCCAGACTTCATGGAATCGGTTGAACACAAACTTCTGGTAATCAGTCTTTACGCCCGACCTCGAGGTGACCACGAATTTTCGGGCGCCATAGTATTGCATCCATGGTATCAGTTCCATACCAAACCCTCCCAGTCCTCCGGTGATTATATAGACTTTGTTTGGATCGAAATATGTCTTCGCCTGAGCTTTAATTTCTGGCAAAAGTTTGTGTGCTTTAAGGGGTCGTCTATCCGTCTCCTCTTCCCTCATCTTCAATATGATTTTTCCCGAGTGTTTGCCGGTTGTCATATACCGGAAGGCCTTTTCGGCGTCGGTAGCCTTGAAGGTTGTCTGATTGATGGGTCGCAAACAACCTCCCGGCTCACAGTTTTTGTGAACCCATTCATAAAACATGGGTAAAAATCCGATGTCATCGACGAGTACGAGATCGATAGCCACGGGTATAAAGTTGACACTCCGTATGAAGTCAAACATACCCAGCTTCTTATTTTGCAACATGTCAAATTTGCCTATTTCTATAAACCTACCATGGTTGGCAACACACTCGTAGCTCGCATCCAGTTTCTCACCCGACAGTGAGTTTAGTACCATATCTACGCCCCGACCCTCCGTTATCTCCATTATCTGATTCTTGAAGAGTATGTCTCTGGAGTTGAATATCCTGTTCGTCGGTATGTTATACTCCTTCTCAATGAATACTCTCTTGTCTTCCGTCCCGATCGTCACAATGATGTCGCACTCATAGTGTTTGGCGATATTGATGGCCGCCTGACCCACACCTCCCGCCGCCGAATGAATTAAAATACTTTCGCCTAAAAATAATTTGTAAAATTAATCACCTTAAATATTTGTACATTGTCATTTTCTATAAATCGTTATTTTCAAAATTTTTATATTTTTACCTTTCCTTAATCTACCCTTTTGAATGAGTCCGTAATAGGCGGTACTGTATGTACTGAGTATAGACACGGCGTCGTCCATAGACCAGTGCTCCGGTATGTGAGTCATGCCGTGTGTGGAACAGTAGGTAGAAGTGGCGAAACAACGGCCCGCTTCCATACCCATAACCCTCTCACCGGTGTCTATACGACGGCCGGCAAACTCACCGCCGATCGTGCAGTCAGTGAATATGACTTCAGGACCGGGAGGTATGCGACCTATTTATAGGTAGTTTTGATGGTGTCATACAATATTGTTATTTTAAATCAAATACTCCACACAAATAGCATACCTGTTGCGAGCATGACGTCGTGAAATGAGAGACCTGTGCTGTATATATTGACCTTATGCTTGGTAACTCTGTTGCCAGCAAAGTCATACTGCTCCTTTGCCGGGATAATTGTTTTCAAGTCATACCATTGAAGTCCCGCTAAATCTCTGGTTTGTCCCAAATTCAAGTAATACTCATTTGTGAGCACTTTATCGCAATCTTTAGACAGTTTTAAGTGTCGATAAGTTCCCACTTTTCCATCTCTGATCACATTCGCCACCAAATCGTTGGTCAATATTTCCTTATAAGGGTTGACAGTAAAGTCTATTTTCTCACTATTGTTGTCGTAATTGAAAATATAACGGCTGTTCTCTCCTCCCGGTTCTAATCGGACACAATTCATGAGACCTATTATGCCGTTAATAGACGACGTGTTTGCTGTCAGCCATACGTTATCCGTCTTATTGTCCGCATCCTTAGCGGTAATCAGTTTTTCCTGCAATACTCCAAACCATTGATTGTAATCCAACGTAACATTTATGACATCCGTTTGATCGGGGATTTTAGGTGTTTCCAGGATTTGCCTGAATAATAGGGCTACTGTTCCTATTGTGTCGTATTTAGTGGCAACTAATCTCAAACCTATTGAATCGCTAATTGAGATAAAATCTTTAATACGATTCTCGAGGTCTGTATTATTGAAAACAGCCTTTCCGTTTAATGAGTTCAACGCGAGTTCCGGTTCCGTAAACTTATAGCGGAATACCGTTAATAAGAAACCCTTTTCCTGTATATTGTCGGACATGTCTTGTATGAATCCATTCATGTCTTTATGCCATAAGTCCGGTGTGTCTCTCATTATCACCAAATGTGACGGTTTTAGTGAGAGGTCGTCCTTCGGGTCCCATTCCATGGCATTACTTCTGAAGACTTCGTGGACGTAGTCTTTAGACTTCACAATCAGTTTGTAATTCGTAATGAAGGGAATGATACGGAATTGAGTCAACAAGTGGTCCACATCTTTGGCCAATACATCACTACTTAAGTTGATTTCAGTTATATTTAAGTCATTAGTCGTGACATAGTTTTCGGAAACAATGTCCACAAGAGTTCGGATCATTCGCTCATTCTTTGAGATTTGATTTATTAAGTCTTTACTCAAATCGTATTCAGGATTTGCGTAAATTTCATTCAATACTTTATGTATATTGGCATCGGTTTTGATATTTTTATTCTCATCCGACAATTCTGACAGCATTTTATCAAATATGCGAAATATAACGTGATTTTCATTGTTTGCATTTTTATACTCTTGTATCTCTTCATCGCTTATCGACTGGTAATTGAAATCACATTTCATTTGTTTGAAACCCATTTGTTTCACTTTAGCTGCCATTGCTTTGCAAACCTAAACAATATACAAAATTTACAAAAATTATATCATACTGGTCACCCTTTTAACTAAATAGCATTAGACAGACCTCCACATAATCCGTCAACAATTTTCTTTCTAACGGCTCGATAGCCTCCAGGTCTTCATTAGCGTAAAACTCGTACGAATCGGTCACCAGATCCATGGTATCCGCGCGTCTCGGTATAGGGAACGCCATGATATCCTCCACTTCGATGCCTTGAGTGACCAGTCGTTTGGATTTGGCGTTGAAATAAAAGGGCATATCAGCCGAAAATATGGCGAACCTCTCGTATAGTTTGCTCACTTCAACCGAATATAATTGCATGACGTTTGGTATATCTTGTTTGGCAACATCCACTTGAACTTCCTCGGTGATCCCGGTTATTTGGTTCGCCACTTTCTCCATATTGTCTTGAGTGGCATAATCTTCAATCGACTTAACCGGCGCTTGAATATTACGACTCTTTCGGAGTCCCTCAAACAGTACCCGTGGGTCCACCCGTAGCGCCCGTATCATCACCGGCACCATTAGTTTACGGAACGGTGCGGCCATTGCCATGGACTGCAAGAGTGCGTCCATATATGTGATGAAACTCCCGGTCCACTCGTTTACGCCGTATATCTCTTTAAAGTCATTTGTGCCGACTTTGCGGAGTCGTTGAAACTCCGGTCCGTAATCCAGACCCAAAACACCCAACTCTTTGTAGATGTCTTTGCGCTCTAATGTGTACTTCTTGTCGGACAGGGAGTGAATCTGTTTGTCGTATATCTTGTTTTGTTGCAGTAATACCTCGTCATCTGGTGATCGCACCCGACCCACGACACACACGTTGTCGTTCTCCAGCACTACGAACTCGTCTATAGAGGGGACAGACATGT